GCTCTTAACATGCTTAATTGAAATAGATCATTAGTTTAGGAAACTGGGAAAATCGGTGGCCTAAAAATTCCAAAAACTATGAATTTCTAGGCCAACAAGTTAGGACTGCTATTACTAGGCGGATTTTTGNCGGATCTCTTCATTTTTGTCCCATCTTGATGAAACTTGAACCAACATGTGTATTTTTTCATGAGCTTTGAAATGAGTACAAACAACATCAATTTTGGTTGAAATCGATATTTTCGATTTTTCCAAGGGGACCATGCGCCTTTGAAGTCAAAAATCGAAGTTCTCCAATTTGGGTCGTGTTTATACTCGTTTTGAAGCTCATAATAAAATACACCCATCGGTCTATTTTTTATCGAAATTGGACGAAAAAGAAAAGAGTTACGGTAGTTTGAAGTTTGGAAGTGGGTCTCACCACGAAAACTACCAAATTTCAAAGTGGATGAAAACTAGTCGTGTTTGGGCACATTTTGAAGCTTTCAACGCGCCAAATTCAAATTTTATCATTAAATTGAGCTTGTTAAAATACAGTAATCACAAAAACAAACATTAAAGTGCTCAAAAAGTGTCACCTGACCCCCTTATATCACTTATTGTAACTGATATTTCTAGTTTATACCCATAGCATTTTTTCCTATCAATCATTCGTTTTAATAAGATTACTTGTGTCAAATTATCAACTAAATTTTCTAGTTTTATCAGTTCCAAGGACGCAATGTTCCGGTTTTTCTATTTACAAAGAATTTAGAAGAGACGTTTCAGGATTACTGTAGATTTCGTAATTTGGAAACTTAAAGTTTTGAATAGAACGAGTTGAGTGCTTCAAAATAAGCCCAAACACGCCTATGATTCCGAAATTTCTGGTTACTGTAGTTTTTGTGGTGGGACCCACGCCTCAAAATGCAAACTACCGTAACTCTCTTCATTTTTGTCCAGTTGCAATGAAACTTACATATGTTAATTTTGAAGAGCTTCCAAATGAGTATAATCATGACATACTTGGCCTAGAAAAGTATTTTCGGGGTTTCTAGGCCACCATAGTGGTCGTAACTTGCTTCGAGATCAAAATTTTCCGGAAATTTAAAAAGTTTTGAATTCAGCTTGTTAAGTGCTTCAAAATGAGTATAAACACGGCCCAAATTGAACAATTTCGATTTTTGACTTTAAAGGCGCATGGACCCTTGGAAAAATCGATTTCAGCCAAAACGTATGGTGTTTAGGCTCATTTTGAAGCCCATGATAAAATACACATAACAGTCTAAGTTTCATCAAATTCAGAGAAAAATGAAGAGAGTTACGGTAGATTGAAATTTCAGAAATTTTCAGGTCATACCATAAATATTTCAATCTACCGTAACTCGCTTCGTTTATGTCCGGTTTCAATGAAACTTGAATCAACCGATACATTTTTTCATGATCTACAAAAAGAGCCTAAACACCATCAATTTTGGTTGAAATCGATTTTTTCGATTTTTCAAGTTGGGTCCTGCGAATTTAAAGTCAAAAATCGAAATTCTCCAAATTGGGTCGTGTTTAGGCTCATTTCGAAGCTCTGGACAAGCTGAATTCAACAAAATTTGAAAAAGTGGGAAAAATGAAAATGGTGGCCTAGAAAGTTCAAAAACCTGGTTTTTTTCTAGGCCACAAGTGAACATTGCACATAACTTGGCTCAAATTTGGAATTTTTGAAAAATTCAACAGGTCTCTGAATCCGGAAGTGGTAAGAACTCACCACGGAATATCAAATTGCTTGGATGGATCATACAAATTGGTCTTATCATCCAAAATACAGTGATCTTTGTATGGAGCCGGCAACTCCACATGCTTGGCCAAGGTGCACCCGATGGCCAAGAGTAGGACACAAATTGACACTGTTTGGAGCATTTTTGGGTCGGAAAAACGCCAAAAATGAGCTGAAAAGCGATGGAATCGAGGTGCTTATCTAGTCACAGAACACGTGGATCCAGAATGCCCCTTATCAGTGATAATTTGCGGAAAAAATTATCATCAATCACTCCGATTTTTGGTTTATGGAGCATAAAAATTTCAAAGGAGAGGAGAATTTTTGAGTTTCCATGAATTATAGTCTAGTCTAGGGGGTCTTCGTGCCTGTCCCCGCGGAAAAGTGGGCGGAGCTTGTTTTGATGATTTAGAGAAAAAAAAAGTGTGATTCGTGTTCTAAGCATTGGGGGCTACAATTTACTCTATTAGATTCCAAAAATTCCAGAAAAATTCCGAAAAATTTTAAAGTTCAGATTTTCAGAGCGACCGTAACCCAAGCTACAGTAACCCAAACAGTTCAAAAATATAATTTTCGGATTTAAAAAATTAGGTGCTACAAAATGAGCCTAAACTTGGCCTATTTTGGTTTATTTTGATATTTGTAATTTTCGTGTTGGGACCCATCAGAAATTTCAATCGACCGTAACTCTTTTCATTTTCGCCCAGTTTTGATAAAAATAATATCAAAGTGTGTATTTTGTCATGAGCTTCGAAATGAGTACAAACAACATCAATTTTGGTTGAAATCGATATTTTCGATTTTTCCAAGGGGACCATGCGCCTTTGAAGTCAAAAATCGAAGTTCTCCAATTTGGGTCGTGTTTATACTTGTTTTGAAGCTCATAATAAAATACACCCATCGGTCTATTTTTATCAAAATCGAACGAAAATGAAGAGAGTTACGGTAGATTGAAGTTTCAGAGACGTCCCAAGAAGTTTCAATCTACCGTAACTCTCTTCATTTTTGTCCCATCTTGATGAAACTTAAACCAACATGTGTATTTTTTTATGAGCTTTAAAATGAGTTTAGTCACCATCAATTTTAGTTGAAATCGATTTTTTCGATTTTTCCAGGGGGGGGGGGGGGGG